GTCAAGGATAATTTACAGGTTGAAATTTGAAAAATTGGATAGTAATAGTTGAGGACTATGGGACGAATAGGCAACACTAGTTATGTAAAAGTTTCCCACATCCCAGTTACAAACAACCATAAGAAACTAATTAAATATAAAGTAAGAGTTGGTTTAATACTGTTCAGAAGTATCATGCGGTTGCTGAAAAAAAGCCAATGAAAGTAGTTAAGAAAGTAGTCCAAAGCCTGAGAGACTGCAAGTTGGTCTGTAAACAGCAGATGTGTGACATACAGTATATTTGAGTGCCTAATAACTGATTTATTAGTTTATTTTTACACTCCAGGCTGCAAGAAGATTTCCAAGCAGATGCAACATGAAATCTCTAAATCTTGAGAGGAAGTGAGTAAATTGCAACTGGTCTCCAATAGTACTGTATGTCCATCCAAAGAGTAGTCTTCCATTAAAACATGAATGTGTTGTCTAAAAATCTTAAGCAGTAACATATAACCCTAAAGCATGCTTGGCCATCATTTGCATAGGGGAGACTATTACCTTTATGGTCTCTCAATGCCAGATGATGCAGTCTGCAACCATATAGTTCACAGGCCAACATTATTCCGTTAACACTGCACTCCCAACATAGTTTCTGACTGATTTCAGCATGTTTCCTCTGCATTTTCTGGAATGGTGACAAATAACTTTATTTATATGCTATACAAAAACACTCACCACCTTCTGTGACATGACTGACAATGTGACCTTCTATATTTTGTTTTACCAATGTGGTGGGGGGACGATTTTATTACTAAGGCACATAATCACATTTTTAACATAACTAAAGGATGCTTTATTCATCACTTATTCATCCTCCTCTGCTTCTTTTTAAGGGCAGAGATGCCTCATCACTTTTAAGGGCTCAAAAAACGGAACCTGCTCAGCTCAGCCTAATCCCAGTGCTGCCCACAGAGTATTACCCGTAAATCAAAAATACAGAGTTCTGCAAAATCGTGCTAGACTGGTTATGTAACTGTCTGTCAGTGGCAGGGCTATGAGGACATTATTTACTTTTGTGCAAGACAGGATGAAAGTTAAAGCCAGAATGTTTCAAATGAAATCCCTTATCGTATCCATTTTGCCAGAAATAGCCTTACAGACCAAAACTACAGATGTTTTAGGCTGCACAAAACGCAGTGGTAATCCTGACAGGTAAAGCCATTTCACCCACATTTGACCTCATTTTTTTTCGCGCACACCACAATCCATGTTGGCACACCCGCACCACCTGACGCGCGCTCTCACCATCTCCACCTGTCGCGGGTCCAGCTGTGTGGGCACGGATGAAGGCACAGAGAACTGGATCTTCCTCCTCGCATCTTTATCCGTCTCTGGCTCCATCAGCTCCGTGTCTGCGGGCAGCAGCGGCTCCATCCAGCCTGTCACCTCCGCAGCCAAACGCACAGATGTTTAACAACTAAGTCCGATTTAACTGCCGGTCTAAATTGTATCACTTCCCAAATGACAAAAGTGCTACACAAGTCCTACCAGGAGTTGCTTCCTCCTCTTTCTCCCTCCCTCCCTCTCTTTCACACTCACTGTCCGTTTATGTCTCTCACTCCCACCGTGTGTTGTGTTGCTGTATGTAATGTGGAGCAGAGGAGTGAGGGTGCGTGCAGCAGAGCATGCCGAGGCTTTATGACGCTTTCAGTTGCAGTGGGAAAAAAGTGGAACAAGTGCAACATCAAAAGTGGCTCAGAAATCAATTTCCCTTGAGATGGGCTGAAAATAAGACCTTTCCAAAAACTGCCAGGGTGCCTTCAATCAATCACAAGTTCAACCCCTTCCTTTATGAAGATAGGCATTAATGACACAGCAGGTTCGTGAATGTATTTCAAACAAATTACTTTTTTAATTCAAAGTAAACTGACAGCTGTGGTTGCCAAGATATCACTGTTATTTATATAGGTTTACTTCCCTGTCACTGCTGTTTTCCGCAGTGTGCTATTGTGCCTACATGAATGGTTTCCCACTGTATTTGTTTCAGTACAGTACACTTCATATTTAATGTAAATGACAATATATCTTATAATCTAACAATGATCAGCTAAGTTATTTAGAAATGCCAAAAAACACCAACACCACAAAAGAGGTAGCATGATTAAATGTTAAGTAATATTTTAACTTAAAAACTATCTAACAAACCAGCAGTTAAAGTTCAGTGTTGGTTTTGGCAAAATGTTTTTGAATCGTATATGTATTCTTATTTAGCAAGAATGGAAAACAATTGGAAGAATAGACTGTATTTTTAAAGGAATGTATTGCAGTAATAGCCATGGGTCTGCCATATAAAATAAACTAAATAACAGCACACTTGAAATAAGTGTGAACAATACCAACAACACATACTTTATTTATTATGAAATAGCTTCTATGAAAAATATGTATATTTACATATTGCCAATGTAGACTCAAAAATGTATCTGATCTTTCTCCAGGGCTTTATCATCTGTACTGTAAATATGTATGGAGCAGTCTGATGGGAAATGCATTGCCATGGCAACAGTCTCCCTTCAGTGTTGGCAGTCAGTAAGCGTAGAGTGCGTGCATGTGTGAGAGTGTGAGTACTTAAGAGAAAGTTGAGGCATACAAATTCATATGATAATGTATAAAAAAGAGGGAAATATTTAGTTTGGTGCATGTAGAAAGCTAGTGACAACAATGTATTACTCTGACAGATCAATTATTATCAGACAATAATGATGTAAACACAAATAATTGCTTCATAATGTGGTAAATGTAACGTGCATTTAACGATGAGACGGAATAAAGGTGAGAGAGGAGAAAAGATTTATAGAATAAAAGGCAAGAAAAAGAGAATTAATTGTCACCGCAGATGGATTAGAGAAGGTTCACCCTGTCCTGAAGTGAAATTGAGAAAAGCTCTGGATCTCTGCCAGCTCTGGAGAGTTGCTGCTTTTGTGAGTAAAACTTCCACCTTTGGAAATAAAAAATAAAAAGCCCTTCTGTTGTTCAGTTTATTTTGAGTACTGTTGTTCTTTAAAAAGAAAAATGCCACAGTGTCTTTTCTCATTCCACCGCTAGGGGACAGCAACCTACTTAGAGTGGAAGAAGATCTATTTAAAGTACCAAAAGTGCTCATTATGAAAGAAATAGGATTTTGCAGAGAGAAACTGATGAGTTTAAATAACAATATTTATATAAAACAGAAAAAGCAGTAAAATCCTACATACGGAAGATGTTAAAAAAAAAAAACCCTGCTGAATTATCATTAAAATAACCATATAAAATAATAGGAAAACAAAATAAATCCTCATAAAAAGGTATGTGCCTTCTTTTCCAGTGCTGTTACACAATGGTGCAATGATTTGGAGTCATTGGGTGAGGGTCACATAATAGGGAACCTAAAAGGAAGAATAACACTTATCAATAGGAATGCATAACAAATGATATCACTATCAGTCATTATTCTCCAGACTTGCACTAATATTTTATGACCAGTAGATGTCACCCATGCGTAATTTGAGAAAGCAAACAAACTAAATGTCTCTGTTCGTGTGCGAGCTCTTTACAATTGACTGATCATGTTTAGAGCACATTATTTCAAGGTTACATTTGAAACCAAAACCATGCAGTGGGGATACTAATTTCATGATTCAGACTGAATGTTAACCTCAACTCTTCTCAACAATTGTCTTTTGAATTAAAACGAAATAAGCCAAAAAAAAACACCTCTTAGGTTGTTGTCAGTTATGGTTGGACAAAACATTTGAATTATTTTGGTCCCTTAGTAGGCTACTATAGATTCAGACTTAGTTTTGGAAGGAATTGCATAATGGTATTTGACATTCAACTTGAAAACCTCTAAATTATATAGAAATAATCAAAATCATATGATTATTTTATTTGGAGACAAACCCTCATTATTTAAGTTGATGTGTCCAATTTTAGCAATGACATATTGTTATATGCTTATTTTTTGTAAGTGGTGTCTTATATTGTTTTTTACTTATTACAAAATAAACATGTAAAAGACAAAAGATGAGCCTTTACGTAATCAGAATTTGTGAAATATTCTGAATGTAATGAGAATTATTGTCCCTCAGATTGATAACACAGGGGCACCATGTTGGGGTGTGACCCTGTCCACAGCACTTCATCTGGACAACCATGACCAGAAATACGTTGATCTAATAATATCATTCAAACGTTTTTTTTGTTCCACTGAAAATGTGTCAGGAGCCAATAAACTGTACTGCACCACCATGGCATTGGTTCTTTTCATTCTTATTTTCTCCCTCTCTCTTGTCCTGCCCCATCTTCTGGCCCCTCTGCGCAATCTGTGCCTTTGGCACCAGCCCGCCCACCGGCACCTGTGCCAAGCCTGGCACCCCAAACCAAGACGCTGTGATTGGCTCACTTCAATTGACTCGTTTAGGCAATTGCACCCTGACTCTGATCTTTATGGCGGGTCCCATATCTATCCTTTGTGTGAAGGCAGTTTTTATGTGTTGTAAATGTCCTGTTGTTTGTTTCCTCATAACATTTCTATAGGGATCCAATTATTCCTATTGGCCTATTTGGGGTAATTCTTCTAATTGTATCATTAAAATATTCAATAATAATTTTCCCCTTAGGGCTCATGCGGATTATTTGTAGGTTTTCCCGTTCCAACCGAAATCATTATCCTATAAGTAATCCTTGAACAACCCAATATTACTAGAATGATATCATCCTAAAATATGACCAGGATTGCTGTAATTATTTCTCTAAGGGGATTGTTTTCATAAACCTTCTATGAGATTAACCCCGTTTTTCCCAAAGATGGAGGCTAACAGAAGCTGTTTGAATCCAGTGCGTTTTTTGTGTGCCATTCACTCCTTATTCCATTTTCTCTTTCAGCTCAGTGACAGATGGCGAGTCCCTCTCCCCCAGGGGAAGCCAGTCTCTGTGAATGCGGCCGCATGTCAATCACCGACTCTCATGTGATGGCTCTTGCCAATGACGTGCCAGCCATATGGGCCTGGCATCAGAGCTGGTATGTAACCCACCCAGTCCTGCCTCTGAGGTGCCACACGGATCCCTCCACGCGTTAGGGCTGGGGATAGCAGCAGCAGCAGCAGACAGAGAGGAGAGAGGTGTGAGAGCAGAACACAGCGTCTCTTCTGCACAAGCATCCGTGCAGGGCGTGTGGATGTGATGCCCACCCGGAGAGACATGGTGTAAACAAACCCGCTTTGCCCCGTCACTGAGCTCCACCACGGAGGTAGGTTACACGTTTTCTATCAATATAAGGCTATCATAAACGGATCAATGTTTGTTTTGTCTTTGTGGCTGTGAGAGGGAATTAAAGTGGCACAGTAGGCTATTAATCAAAATAGAGGACTATTTTTCAAATCTTTCGCATATTTTTCTCGCATGCAATTTGATCTCGTAGCTTTTAATCTTTACTCCAGGTTGTTTTTGGATGATTTTATCGAATATATTGATCTCTATGTGTTTAATTTGATAGATCTGATTAAATAAATCTTTAAATATACAAAGATCCATATACGAGCTATGGTTCTCTGGCACACTGTATCCATAATGTGTGTCGTAATACGTTAGAAGATGGGCACTGGAGACTGCATTTTATTTACATTATCGGTAAATTGTGTTGGGGTGTGGGGGTGTATTTGTGTGTGTGTGTGTGTGTGTGTGTGTGTGTGTGTGTGTGTGTGTGTGTGTGTGTGTGTGTGTGTGTGTGTGTGTGTGTGTGTGTGTGTGTGTGTGTCTGCACGACGCGCATCAGAGCACTGTGGGGGTAGAATTCTCTATAGAGATACACAGGCTAATTGACAAGGTATTGGTTGGCATTAATTACATTGTGCTTACAAGATTAGAAAAAAAACGTCCTTGGACTCCACAAGCAGCTGAGCTCTGATTACTGGAAAAATCCTTTAAGATTTTGAAATGTCACAGCTTTTATCAATGGCACTTTAATAAATGACGTGTCTGAATTATTAGTCAACATTATACAGTGAACCTAGAGGGGGGAAAACAATCCATAGATATAGTTTTTGAACGAATTATGATTATAAAATATCCCAATAAAACCTCCCCTTGTGACCTTTTAAAAACATGGGACTTGCTTTTAAATAAAGGAAAAGAAGAGGCTCAGAGAAATAAAAAAAATAGTCCAGATCAAAAACAAAGCACACTGAGGGAATAAAGAATACAATCAATTAAAACGTTTTTTTCTGTGGCATGCGTTTTCCTGTGGGTCCAAAAAAGCCTTTATGAACCTGCAAAAACTATAACCATAGATTGAAGGTATTTCAACAGCATACTCGTTCTTCCTGAAATATCTGCGATTATATTGCATACTTTCGTTTTTATTCCAGAAATATTCTCAAAGGGGGCTCTTATAAATTAAATTCCAAAGCGGATTGAATACAAACCTGTTAATTCAAAGTAAAAAAAAAAAAGGTTTGGGACCCTCTGGTCCAGTGTGGCCTGCATGGCTGTGCTGGAATTCCTCCAGGTTCGTAATTTATAGGAGTGAGGAGGGACCCACACCCTTAATGCGTCCCAGGGGGGCCTGCTGCGGGCCTGCACCGCTCCCTGAGCCGGACTGCTGGAGGGCACAGACCGAGGCACAGGTGGAGGCAGAGGGGTGGTCCAGACTGTTTCTTTTATTATATTAAAACAAACGGATTGTATTTTTTAAAAGTGAGAAAGAAAAAACCTACCTTCTCTGGAATCGGTCCTATAAAAAACGTGAAAATGAAAAAACTTGGGACAAAATTGACATAATATCTACATCTTAAAAAAGGTGTATTATGACCCTTTCTCCCAGGTCAGCCTTATATTAATTTACTAGATTAGTGTCCAGATAAAACAGAAAACTATATAGGCCTACCACAGTTTTTGTATTTACGGAAAAGCTATTGCAGCTCAACAATTTTCCTTGGGTGAGGGACATGCACAGTCCTTTAACAGCCCAACAAAACAGCAGCAGGGTGCAAACAGCCAGGTAAAGTTTATTCTGTGTCTCTTGCAGGTTGCTTGCCACGATGTTGAGCCGTCTGTTCAGTGAGGTCCTGCCGGACGTCCAAAGGCTCGCCGCGGACTGGGCGGAGGGCACTGAACACGAGGACAGCAAGGACAAGGTCGGAAAGAACGAGGCCTGTGACCTCGATGATGACGACCTGGACGACCCGCTGGAGGGGAGCAGCCGAGCCGAGTCTGAGATGGCCGGCGACGACGATGATGATGAGGATGAGGATGAAGAGGCCGAGGAAGAGGGCGACGATGAGAACAGTGAAGGCAAACCCAAGAAGCGCGGCCCAAAGAAACGTAAGATGACGCCGGCGCGCGCGGAGCGCTCCAAAGTGCGCCGAATGAAGGCAAATACGCGGGAGCGTACGCGCATGCACGATTTGAATTCTGCGCTGGACAGTCTGCGCAAAGTGGTGCCATGCTACTCCAAAACACAAAAACTGTCCAAGATAGAGACTCTGAGGCTGGCCAAGAATTATATTTTAGCCCTGGGGGAGATTTTACGCAACGGGAAACGGCCAGATGTGGTGGCCTACGTGCAGATGTTGTGCAAAGGCCTGTCCCAGCCCACTACCAACCTGGTGGCAGGCTGTCTGCAGCTCAACACCAGAAACTTCCTGACTGAGCCGTGTGCAGAGGGAGCCCGCTTCCACGTGCCCAGCTCTCCTTTCTCCGTGAATCCCTACTCCTACCGGTGTTCCCGCATCTCCAGCCCGCATTACCAGGCCGGGGGTGCAGCGCTTAACGTGCGGGGCCATTCCTACGGCTCCGGGTACGAGGCCGTGTACCCCCCAGGTGGGACGTCCCCTGAGTACAACAGCCCGGACTATGAGGCCCCGCACAGCCCGCCCGTCTGCATAAACGGTGGCCTGAGACAGCAGGAGGCTCCAGAGGCAGACAGGAACTATCATTACTCTATGCATTACTCCGGAATGACCACGTCTCGGCCCAGCCACAGCATACCATATGGGCCCTCGGGAGCGCGCAGTGGCGGTGCGCACTCAGAAAACATTCCACCTTTTCACGACGTGCACCCGCATCATGACAGGGCGCCCCCGTATGAGGATCTCAATGCTTTTTTCCATAACTGAGTCCTCCTCACAATCAGACATTGAAATGACAATCCTGACGTGTAATATTGTTTGGGAAGCAGGAGAAGAGAGATTGAAGTGGCAAAAAAGATTCCTCCGATTACCTTCTGTATTCTACTGATGTCATCCCTACTGTTGTACATCCCATCAGTGTGTCCAGTAATATCCTGTATGCAGAATGAGTGCAATTGACATAAAAGATGTATAGGCCTAAACATGTTATGACACAAAAAACAGAAATAAAAAAAAAATGTTTTATAACTGTCTGACATGATCGAACAACTCTTATTCTGTACATCGAGGGAAATCACCCATAAACTGTGTGGATAATATATTAAATAATATTAATTTCAAACTTCAACTACATAGAAATGTGTCTGAAATAATTTCGTTGAATTTGACCAAGATTAAGCCAGTAAGGTCATTGAATACAAAATGGATTCTGATTCTAATTGGCATGTCAAAATATATTTTGAGGAAGTTATCTTTTTTCGTTTTTTCGTTTTTTAGTCTTTTTTAAAATCAGATGCCTTTAAATTGCATTTCAAAAGGTTTAACTGTTGAGATTGTTCAGGCTCTTCTTAATAAATAATATATTTTGAATTCAATCAAATAATATCACTTTTGTGCATAAAGGTGAAATTCAGATATTTTTCAAAATTTGAAATTAACAAAATGAGAATTCATAAGTTTATTTGAAAACAAAATACTTTATATTACATTTTATATTTTTTCTGATTGATGTGGGTATAATTAAGTGGCCTGTAGCTTCTAAAATATCTGAGAAGGAAAAAATAACACCGATAGCAAAAAATCTAAAATGTTGTATAGTCTTAAGAGTAACAACTAACTGCTGTTGCATTTGACAAAACGCCTTTACTATCACAGTGAACATGTATATTAGGCAGTTCAAATACAAAAATCAAAGAAATGTCTTAAGGAAATTGCTAAATTAGGAGAAGGCACACTGAGTTTGAATTTTGGAAAACCTGAGACTTCTGATTCACACAGTATTTGTTATATTACATTGTGTTTTATTCTCACACCTCAGCATGGACATTTTTAGGTTTTAACTTTTAGTGGCCTCAATTAGATTTCATTCTAAAGGAATTTATACAAAGAAATGTGCAAAAGCTTTGTTTCCTCAAGATCACCTTGGGGTGAAACTCTTGAAATGGTGAGATTGAGATTATGTGCATATCGATAAGACCAAAAATATCTGCTTAACTGTTAAACAGGGTGTATTGGAGTAAATATATCTGCATTACAACAACATATAAACTATTTTAGTTTAAAGTTATTAGAAATTCCAGACCCAGTAAAAGAGTGTGACACACAGCAGATTGGATATTTTATGTTTTTATTTTCTTTCAACAGAAACATTTCTAGGCATTACACTCAACAAAATAACTCATGTAGCATGATGTGAAAAGCACACCAGATGATTTTAAACTACATTAAGTATTTTGAATGACGTTAAACCCTGCAAGGTTTTGTTGGTTATTTATTTGTAAGCCTTCAGTACATTCAAAAATGTAATGTTACAAATTAGAGAGTGAGCAAAAGGCCTCGGCATACACTGACTACTGCACACACACACACACACACACACACACACACACACACACACACACACACACACACACACACACACACACACACACACACACACACACACACACACACACACACACACACACACACACACACACACACACACACACACACACACACACACACACACACACACAAAGAGTGTTTTAAGATGAAGGTGCTCAGCTCAATGAATGTGGATGAGGGCCTTGTCACATCAGCATTAATTTAAACCAAACACCTGTCAGACTTCCCAGGTGATTTTAAAATATACAATCATCTTGATAACAAGTCACATATTGCCAAAGTAATTTATCAAAAATATTGTCTTTAACCATGAATGACTAAATGAGACTGCTTTTTCAACGTTTTATTTGTTCTCCTGAAAAACAAATATGTATTTATATAAGGCCTAGTTGCAAAGGCTGATATTTGTAATGGCAGTTCTGAAAATAAGATATATGCTGTTCTCAATTACAATAGATTCCTGGTATTTTTTAACAATGTTCAATTTAATGTATTTGGGCTAGGTCACATCATTGGAGGTTTCTTACATGAATAGATGGAGCCGCCTTTGGAATGCTGCCCCGGGTCCCATATGTTGTTGCGGACGTCCAGGGGAAATCAGCACCGGGCACCGCAGGGTGGAAACCGTCCCATCCAGCACTGACCTCGGCAAAAAAGGAACAGAAGAGATGTAAGCACTTTCTACATTGCAAGCCGCTACAGTGAATACATAACATTGATGACATTTTTTTGGAAAAACATTCCTAATTTGATTTCATTGTTGCCTAAAAGACCCAGCTGAGTTGGGCAGGTGCAAAATCAGGTGACTCAATGACCCGTTGGTTTGAAATGAAGAAGCCCAGGGATGGTGACACACTAAAACAAACACACTCACACAAACCTTGAAAAACAGATTTAATACGCAGTCCAAATGGTTGCTACACAACCAATACAAGTTAACTGTACAAATAAACACATTTGAAGCCTGATCAAATACAAGCAAACAAAACGTTAACATTATTATTTGAATTTGTTTTAAAAGATTATATATCTTTTCATGTTACATTTATATTCCGTCTGTTTTTTTTTAATAATTAGCAAAGTCTATAGGGGGGTTAACACAATAAGAAAATTAAATGAGGGGGTTTCCCCTTCAATAAAATGGTATCTGGAATATACTGTTGTACAATTTAACCAATATTAATAATTTAGAGTCAATTAAGGATTTATATATAGACATTTTATATTAACCTTTCATTTATTTCTTTAAAGTTCAGTGACATTTAGCATTTTGATTATCAAGGCAACATGTATTATGCAGTGTGATGCAAATTTGGTTTAGTAAAAGTAACCTCGGGAAGATTGCTGATGCTTTTTCTCAAAGGAAGAGGATGTTTTATGACATCAACCCTCGAACAAAAACATTTTGAGAAAACAAAAAATCCGCAGACACTTGTATGATTGGTATGTTGAATATTAAAACATGTTTGTGTGTTTGGGTATAGAATTAGGTCACCAAATAATATTTTAATTTATTTCTAAAACGAGCCTGTTTTCTCAGCAGCCTTCCTGTTTCACTACAAGTCCACTTTAGTTTCCAGTCCCGTGTGAAGGGTAAAGGCCTCGACGGACGAGGTGAGGGACACCTTTCCGATTTTACTTTCTGCCCTAACCTCTCAGTTAGTAGTTAGGGGCGGCGGCTGGCGGAGGATTTGATGGCGTTGTTCGGTGCCAAGGCGCTAAATGTCTAAGCACCAGTAAAGCCAGAGACCAGTAAACCCACCATCACCAACCCCGGTGCCAGCTGCGCCACGTGGCAGCCAGGCGGCCCTTGCCAAAGTGGCCCTTGTGGGAGGGACCCAGTATTTCTTTCCTAATTCACTCAGCATCTGTTCATTATTCTCCTCCGCTGAGTGTCCACGCGCGGCCCCGGACTAAAAGAGACCTTTTCCCTTCCGGTCACGCACTTTCACACGAGACTGCATAGAGCGATGATGAAACAGATCGGATGTTTTACTGTGTTTAAATCGTGCACGTCAATACTGCAGAAGACTTCTAAACTACGCGTGACTTTTAACCGGTTAAACTCATGGGTCGAGCCTTATTTAAAAATCTATATATGGTACATTTTATTAAAAAAAACATCTAGGCCTATAATCAGTTTCACGTTTGTTACTTGTGTCCTTATTAATGCATGAAATAGACGACTTTAATATATAAAATGAATTAACCCGTGTTAACCCCAGCAGACCTGTTTGGAACTCGGGTTTAACGAATTATCATATTATTTCCTTATTATGATATGTGATATTTTTCGGAGTTTAATGCACACCTGCCACGTGGGCGGACATCACCCTAATGTGACGGTTAATCTAAATATCTCGGACAAATTTGGCTTAACTGACGAAACTAAAGTCCATAAAATCAATTAATTGGTATCCTATTCAAGCGTAATTGTTGGAATGAATGTTTATAAAATACCATGCAATTACTGTAATTATATAATCCCACACAGATCTCCAGTTAACTGCTTTTAATATGATCAACTGATCCGCTAAAATCGCAGCAGGAAACCCAGCACAAAGTATAGGCCCAGGCCCCACCGCACATAAATCTCCATCTGGAGAGTTTTACTCAATTTATAAGATTAGGTCAACATTTATCGGATTAATTATTTTGGGTTTAATCTAGAAAAAATATTTCATGGGACTAATCAGTGATACAATCATTACATAGAGCGTTCTGTTGTGTGGTTAGAGGACAGTGACATGAGGTGGGAACAAGAAATAAACCAAGCTAAAACAACAACAATTTGAATATTAAAATATAAGTGACAAATTCCCAGCAGTGTGTGTGTAACAGGAGAAAGCGTTATATGTCACACACTCCCCTTTTCCTCCCCATAACACCAGTTGAAAAGAGGGCACCAAAAACAAAAAACACCACTTAGAAGAGCTTGTCTGGGTGCAGATGAGGCTAAATTTGGGAGTCACCTCAACCATGGGAATTGGGTGCACTCATGCTCACCCACCCTGCCCTGCACTCTCCCACCATCATCACCCCCCTGCCAGCCTGAGCGCCACGCCCCAGCTCTGTGAAGAGAAATGAGGCGAAATTCCCCTGCATCTGTGAAACAATGGTTGTGTGTGTGATGGTAAACTCCCTGAACTGTCTTTGCGTGTTAAAGGAGGAGAAAAACATACAGAAGGTGGGAAAATATCCGACCTCTCCGTGTTGTTTTTGGACACACACTCTCAAACACAATAAAACTGCACTTGCTCACAAGTAAAAGCACACATGAGTTAGGATTTGCTGTGTTTGAAGTGTGTGTTTGCCCCAAGTGTGTGTGCAGTGTACAGACTGTGTTGTGCATGGTATGGGTATAGAGGTTGTTGTCACTCTGCACAGATGGTGAGTGTTTTTTATTTATTTTTTGGTGGGGGGGAGGGGGGGGAGTGTGAGGAAATGAAGAGGGGTGAGGCAGAGGAAAAGGGAGAGGAGAGGAGGAGGGTTTGCGTCTCTGATGCTGCCATGCCACGGTCACGCGGGCAGCAGTAATTGGCCTCCATATTGAGGGGTTTTGCGGTGCTGCGGGGTGGGCAAACTCCCAGCTGGACCTGTCAGATGGTATTCAATCCAGCTCATTGCCCTCGCTCCTCTGTTCCTTCCTCCTCTCCTTCCCTCTGTCTCCTTTCCTTCATGGCATGTTGGCTTCCTTTTTTTCCCCCTTGCCCCCTTTCCTGTCTCCGCTTCATCCCACAC